GGAGGAGGGAGGGGGTTATTGGGAAGCCATCGGCTGCTCTACGCCAGGCAATGTCTTCCAATGTGGGGGTGGGGAGGGGCAGCGAGGAAGGGGGGAGAGTAGGAGCAAGCGTGAAGCCCGATTTCCGTGCCCACCCGGCTCTGCCTCCTGGGTCCTGTGTAGCAACCCCGCCCCCTGCATTTGACTGAAAATGCACCCGGCCTGCAGCCCGGCGGGGCACCTCGGCCCCCTCCAGCAGCTACCACTGCCTCAACCCGGGACACGGGTGCCCGGGTGGGGGAGCAGCGGCTTTGCCACATTCCCTGCGGAACCGGGCGTGAGCACGGCAGGGGCAGGGCAGACAAACGTCACTCGGGGGCGTCTGCCTGCCTGCACCCACGCTGCCCAACGGGGGGCGCTGTGCCTGCACCGCAGCGGAGGGCAGCAGCCACTCCCTGGGGAGAGAGAGAGAAGTCAGGGTACCAAGCCGGGGCCAATCAGGGAATCATTGCAAGCACAGGGAGCTCTAGGAGAGGGGGTGCAAGCCTCTGATGCCCCCTCGGCCCATGCTGCCTGACCATCCCGTCCTCTGCAGCAGGGAACCCCTCCTCACACACATGCACACACACACACATGGATGTTCAGCTGCAAAACAATGCCCTGGAGTCTTGACTTGGGCGCCAATGCAGGATCCAGCGTGACCCAGCACGGGATCCGGTGCGATCCAGCACCCGGTGCAGGATCCGGTGTGACCCACTGTGGGATCTGGTGGGATCCATCACCCGGCATGGGATCCAGCATGACACACTGTGGGATCTGGTGTGATCCAGCACACGGTGCGGGATCTGATGTGACCCACTATAGGATCCAGTGTGATCCAACACCCGGCGCAGGATCTGGCATGACCCACTGTGGGATCTGGTGTGACCCAGCACCCGGCACAGGATCCGGGGTGACCCACTGTGGGATCTGGTGTGATCCAGCACCGGGCACAGGATCTGGTATGACCCATTACGGGATCCAGTGTGATCCAACACGGGATCTGGCACGACCCACTGTGGGATCTGGTGTGACCCAGCACCCGGCGCAGGATCCGGTGTGACTCACTGTGGGATCCGGTGTGATCCAGCACCCAGTGCGGGATCTGGTGTGACCCAGCACCCGGTGCAGGATCCAGCACGACCCACTATGGGATCGGGTGTGATCCAGCACCCGGCACAGGATCCGGTGTGACCCACTCCGGGATCCAGTGTGACCAGCACTGACGCAGGAGCTGACGTGACCCACTGTGGGATCCGGTGTGATCCAGCACCCGGCGTGGGATCCGGTGTGACCCACTGCAGGATCCAGTGTGAGCAGCACTGACGCAGGATCCGGCGTGCCCTGACATCCAACGCAGGATCCGGCGTGCCCATCGCACCGGGCCACCAGACAAAGGGAATCAAGCCCACGCTGTCATGGAGAAGGCAGAGCGAGGCAAATGGAGCCCCCTCCTTGCCCCACCCCCTGCTCCTGCCAAAGCCAGCTCTGGTCTGCTGGAAGTCCCCGTCCGAGCCGTCGAGTCACAGCCAGGGCCCCTCTCCTCTGCAATCTCCCGCTCTGCTGCCTCAGGGGAACCCCGTATCCTGGTCCTTGGTGCCCACCTTCTCCTGGAGCTTGTCGATTTCCTCCTTGTGGGCCAGCTCCGACTCCTCCAGCACACGCCTCTGGGTCGTCTCCTTCTTGAGGAACTCGATCTCCCTGTGGGGGATGGGGTGAGCAGTCAGGCCAGAGCCTGGCCGCTGCTCCAGCACCTAACCCGAGGGACTCTCTGAACTGGGCAGGATACAGACCCCCATCCCTGGGAGAGGATAGGGGATGGGGATCTGGAATCACTAATCCTGAGAGATCCATGGGCGATGGAGATCTGGGATCATTAGTCCTGGGAGATCCAAAGTGGATGGAGATCTGGGATTGCTAGTCCTGGGAGATCCATAGGGGATGGGAATCTCGGATTACTAGTCCTGGGAGATCCATAGGGGATGGGAATCTCAGATTACTAGTCCTGGGAGATCCATAGGGGATCGGGATCTGGGATTGCTAGTCCTGGGAGATCCATAAGAGATGGGGATCTGGGACCACTAGTCCTGGGAGATCCATAGGGGATGGGAACCTGGGATCACTAGTCCTGGGAGATCCATAAGAGATGGGGATCTGGGATCACTAGTCCTGGGAGATCCATAGGGGA